ATTGGGCTTCACACACAGGCCTACACGTATATATTTGGCTTCACACACATGCCTACATGTACACATTGGGCTTCACACACATGCGCCTGACTACACGTGTACATCAGGCTTCACGCGCCTGACTACACGTGTACATCGGGCTTCACACACATGACTACACGTGTACATTGGGCTTCACACACATGTCTACACGTATACATTGGGTTTCACACACAGGCCTACATGTACACATTGGGCTTCACACACATGACTACATGTATACATTGGGCTTCACACACAGGCCTACACGTACACATTGGGCTTCATACACAGGCCTACACGTACACATTGGGCTTCACACACATGACTACACATACACATTGGGCTTCATACACAGGCCTACACATACACATTGGGTTTCACACACATGCCTACACGTATACATTTGGTTTCACACACATTGACTACACGTATATATTTGGCTTCACACACAGGCCTACATGTGTACATTGGGTTTCACACACCTGACCACACGTGTACATTCCTCAGCACGGAACAAACGACTGCTGTGACGTGGTTTTGTGCTGTTTGCACAGTTCAGCTGGCGCAGCCGGCAGCCACCCGCGGAGCAGTGACTTACCAACCTCCACATGCACGCCTGCGAGCCCACCGTTCGTCACCCCGTTCATCAGCTCCGTGTCCTCCAGTTTCAGCTGCACCGGGGGATGGAACTTCAGGTCCTCCTCCATCTTCTCCCAGTTGGCCTTTGTCTGAGAGCCACTCGCACCGTTAAAATGGTATTTCACTTTCTGAATGACGTCATCTGAAACAATGTAAAGCCACGCTTCAATTAGCTCTGTGAAAGTTAAGTGCCTCAGGTAATTATTAATCAAATCACAGCATTCTTTTTTGATTGATTTTCATTTCCTCCTTCATTTCTTTTCTTATTAGTTTCGGGTATAAAACTCCACCACTGGTTAGGGAACAAAAGTACCTCTCCTAGGTATTTTATATCGTACCCACTCCCTTCTGGATACTTCAAATCTCAACATCCTGCCTGCTGGTGGACTGAAAACAAGCTTTCATATTCCAGGGTAGATGTCAACACATACCTTCAGCTATCCATGAACTACCATGAGAAGCAATTCCACATTGTCTTTTAACAACATCAAGGATTAGGTTTTTTCCTAATACATTAATTTAACATATATTTGAGCCATGAAGCAGCTCTGACTGGTAGAGGTGATTCCACAGTGATTCCACCAACATCCACACCACAGCTCTACGTACAGATCACCCTGCTTCACCTCCCACACTTTAAATTTAACACCATTTGCAAGCAAATCCCATTCCACAAATGAGGCTGCTGGTTTGACAGGAGTTGCACCGAGACTAAGCAGAGAATTTGCCTGAGTAGGAATTGCTCACATCTCCAGAGCTGAAGTACCTCACTGTGGATATTGCCACTTCCTATTTAATTGGGCAAGACATTGGCAAATTTAAGTTATTTCAAACGCTTTGGGAAATTAAATGCAGAAACATTTATTTTGCCAAGATATCCTATAAGTAAAGTCCATATCCTTAAGGTATTGTTAACTAGAAGACTTGCACAGGTTGACCACAGCTTCTACTGGATATGATACGTATGTAATAGCTTCAGCACGAGTTTTGAGACCACAGAGGAGGACTTTATGTTGTGCTAGAATAGACTGCTGTAAGTATTCCTTAGAGAAAAATCCTGTATTTTACCTTAAGTCAACCTGCTGTAATTATCTGTAACTGCCAGGCAAAAGGCTAAGATCTTAGGTACCAAGTACATCTTAGATCCAAACGCAGGAAAGAAGAAGAAAAAAAAAAAGGGAAAAAACCAAAACAAAACAAAAAAAATCACACAGCAACCTTAGGTAGGCTCTGCAACAAAGTACACTATAATAGTAAAAATGAAGACAAAATTGCATTTTTTTCTTTAAAAAGAGCCTTATGCAATTAAAAAAAGCTAGAAATTCCAAAATTCCTACTCAATTTAAAAAAAGGAGTAATTTGGATCTCAGTATAAAATTACATCATGCCTGGAATGTGCCCTGAAGGGAATCCACCCAAAAACCAAGGTGACTGTACAATACATTTTCCTTGTGGATTTCTCAATCTTTTAAGCGCCAGTTTCACATTATTACCAAAATTTGGATAGAAGTGCGCTAACTCCCTGCAATAGCTTCTCCTTTCCCAGAAAAGTTTCCCCTTACAAGGGAATTGTGTTTTTCAAAGGTGCAAGGTTCGGTAAAGCAGCTGCTTCTTGGCAAGAACACCATTTATACCAGGTTAAAAAAGAAACACCAGGCATAATTACGAAGTATTATGTGAATCTAAGTCACGCCAGAAGCAAAGCTGCCCATAATAATCTATTCTGTCTCCCTTTTTTCCTGTACCCATCTGTCTCCATTTGTCAGATTTTTTTAATTAAGTTAGAAAGTGTTTGAGATGTGGAATTCTTCTTCTGTGCTCGTTTATTAATCACCACAGCATTTTGTTCATCTACTACAGCGGCTCTCAGGAACCGCAGAACCAACAATCTAAGAGTTTAAGGCAGTTACAAGATCTCCCCCTCCTCCAACACATGCACGCGAAGGCACACACACACAGAGATTCAGTTTTATGATCAGGCTTTGGCCAGGAGACATTGCTTAATACCATAAAAGCAGGAGGCACAGAATTCTTACTAATAGAGAACAAAGTTACAAACCAAATTCAAGAAAAGCATATGGTCTGGAAGCTAAACTGATGCTTGTTGTATCGTAGGAAGCAGCAAATTCCCACTGAAGCTCTTCCAGGAAGCAAAACGCCATGATGGTTGAGTAATTGCTGGAACAGATTGCCATGCAGGCAATATCCCCGGAAGAAAGGAAACTGAAATAGAAAATTAAAAAAAAAAAAAAAAAAAAAGAGTAATATCAACATAAAAAGGTAAAAGTCATGCTGAACACGAGAAGGAAACTGCGCTTTCTGCCAAAACAAAATGTATAGACTGCGCTGAAAGAGCAGACTGCAAAAAATATATCGGTCGCACTGCTGTAACAGTCCTGTGGATCTAACACTCAGCCTTAACTCGTTCAGTATGCCTCGGCATACCAAAGACCACAATACAGATTTTGTTAAATCGCTACATCAGTAAAAACTGAGGACATTCTTTTCCCAGGCTGGCTTTAAATCATGTTAATAAGAAAAGAGATGGCCAGAAAACACGACAGGCAAGAAGACTGTGAAAGAAAACACCGTGGCTTTCCACAAACAGAAGTAAAACCAAGCAAGCTTGTCCACAGGAAGCAAGCAGATGTATTCCTGCCTCCCCTTGAATATGACACCTTCCTATTAACAGCAAGAGATATTTGTTATCTCGCACAAACCAAGACATTCAAACACAGTTACTGCTCAGTCAGCTGTAACAAATAAAGACGAGTTTGTATCAGAAACAGCACAATAAAAACTCCAAAGTGGGTCCCTCTAACACTGAGGCCGTACTTATGCAGCAGTTTCCACTTACAGATGGCCCAAAACCTTCTAGGAAGCTTCACAAGGGATTCATCTGACCGAAATGTAGGTGCGTACTTAAGGATGAGCGAAATCACTCTCGTCTCGGCTTCACTAAATAAGACGGGAGTCAGGGCACCTAGTTTGGATGTCAGCACCCACACTGCAGACAGCTAAACTCTCACAATCCCCAGCATAACTGGGGACAACAGTCATAACTACCTCTGGAAGAAGACTGAGGCAACCTTCCCTTACAGGTTAGCCATTTGTCAGCAATAATTCTGCATAAAACCTCAGTTTTGAAGCTGAACAATCACACACTCTCTGTATTTTCTCTATTTTGTACTAGTTATATGTTTCACCCCTCTCACATAGAAATACTTTTGGTTTCTTTTTTTTTAATCACATTTTTATTTATTCGTTAAGACTATGTTCTCAGGATTTACGGTTGCGAGTAGCTCCGTTACAGCCTAGTTACACCGGGCACGTTCCCTAAATTCCTTTCGTCCCCAGCTCACAGCCGAGGATCAACACCAGGCCTGCGTAAAACTACCTTTTCCCAGTTGGGAATAATTTATAGCCTTTTTGCCACGTTATCTGTTTGCACTCTTCTCATTTCAGAGCCAGATGCAGAGCTCCGTCTGCAGAGACCACAGAAGATGAAAAGCAGAAGAACCCGCTAGCATTAAAGGGCATAAGTTCGCTTTGAGGGAAAAGGCATTAAAATGCTAATCTCTGCTTTTCCAGTGTAAGTTCATCTCTCTTCTTTCACCCACCACTCCCCCAAAAAAGGAGACTTAGTTTTAGCTCAGGGTCACTTTAAGTTTTGTTACATTTGCAAACCAGAAACGCCATCGCAAGCTAAAAGTCATTCTCAGAACCAAACTAAAATCAACAGTAAACGAAAACTCTCATCTCTGAATGAAACCCTAATTTCTTAAAACAAAGAACAGCAGATCCTGCTCCGATAAATAAAAGCAGAGATTTCTCATTTCTCCATACGGGCTGTGGGCAGCAGGCTTCAGGCCTCCTCAAGACACGTCCACTACCCAGAGCTTCCAGAGACTTGAAACCTGCTGGTATGCAGAAAGCAGAGTGGGCAGTGTGTCGGGGGGGGTCAGGGCAGCTCTGTGCAAGCCAGAAGCAGAACTGCAGGGGCCTCAAAGAAGGCACCAGCAAGACCTGCCAGTCACTGAGGAAAAGGGTTTGGGGTTTAGACTAAACTAATGCCTAGGCCCTAGGATCCCATCTTAGAAGGTACTCGTAGAAGTCCAAGATAGTCCAATTGCTGACAGTAACAAGTACTGCCCATCGAGCAGAAAGCATTTGCTACACAAAATGACAACTAAAATAAGTAAACTCAACACATGCTTACTGAACTGAGCAGGAGCCGTGTGGCTGGGCGCTGAGAAATAAGGTTTCAAAGTGCTGCCTGGAGGCTGCAATCTGGACACGCATAGTGGGAGTTCAGATTGCATTAGGCACTAAAGAATATACCTAAAGTTCAATTAATCCCCAGAACAATCATTTCAAAAATTAAAGTTAAAAACCAACCAAAGTAGGGACTTACTGTATGCTAAGGTGACGTCCTTTCGCAGTGCCCCGGCTTGGATACTGCGCCAGAATTGAGGACAACGCCTTCAATCTCTTTCTGCATTCCAGAAAGTCCTGGTTGAAATGAAAATCTGTGGAGGCTGAGAGGGGAAGTCCATCCCTCACTCGCACCACACAGGCAAAGAAGATCATGGACATTCTCCACTGGAGTACTCATGAGGACACCTGAAAAGGAAATACTCAATTGGGTTAGTGGATGGGGTATTAGTTACTTACAACCCAATATGCCAGCCAGAAATACGTCGAGGTAAGGGTTTATTCACCATCGCTCCTGATCAGAACCTCTTGTAACACCACCGCCACTGAAAGGCAATCAAACTGTTCTCAACGGTCATGGCTCTCTCAGACAAAAAGGTGAGGCAGGGGATTTGACAGGGGAATTACCTACCTGCACTATTTTCCCTCCCTCTGCTTTACCTCAAGCATCAGAAATGCTGAGTAAAGTTCTCAAAGGTATTTATGGAAACTGGCTAACTCCCACTGACATGCTGCATCTTGACTAGTGTTGCACACAGTCGCCTTAGTGCTGCAGTTACCTGATTTTCTAGCAGAACACACAAATACAAAAATAAATTTGAGAGTACAGCCTGTCAGGCTCCTTTTACAGAATCAGTTAGGACTAAATATAGAATAAAAGTTGCCCGCTCTTGACTTCTTACTTTTTTAACCGGTCACAATCTCCCATGAAAAGTTATTATTGGGATTTACCTGGTAGATTCAGAATACACAAGAGATCTGTCCTTCAGACATACCATGAGTATCCAGTGCAAGGTATTAGAAGACTAACGCAGCAGCTCACATAATCTCTGAAAGACAACCATAACGAATGTTTTAGAAAACTTAACTAATGACCTACACGTACATACTGAGCTACAACATGAGGTCTCCCATGCAGGGTAAACATAGCCTGGAAAATATTTTGTTTAAAGGAAAACAAACTCATTTTCTTATCCAATATATCAACTCCTAGATGCATTCAAAGACACTATGCAATGATACACAGAGTATTTCTGACGTCCCAGTCACTCTTTGTAAGTTATCCCAGCTTCCTGCAAAACAGCAGCTCTCCATCAGAAGACTTTAAGTGATTATCACAAACAAGTTAAGGAAAAAAAAAAAAAGGCATTTATTCTGCTTCAGGCAAACTACATAAAAACAGGAAAAAACAAAAATAAAATTGAAAAAAAAAAAATTCACACTGTGAACTCAAACTTTTGATAGAGGGAATGACTGCTTTAAACGGCCCTGTATCAAACAATTCCCTACGATGCTCAAAGTTCCTTTGAAGCATGTGTGTCATCACAGACCATCAAGTGGGTTTTTTTGTCTAAGAAGGTAAGAGAGCAAAGCCTCTTCTACCTCAGGCACTCATAAACTCTCCTGCCTGCAGAGCTGCTCTAATGTCTAATAAGAGTTGAGTTCTTACCACAAGCAGCACTAAGAGGGTCTCACTTCTGCTCCATGGGAATCACTTCCACACAATTTGTAGGAACTATCCCTATGTCAAAGGCAGCTGCAATTTGCCAGCATGTTAAAACAACTAAGAATTGTCAGAGGAACTGACAAAAAGCATAATTACCCATAACTTGTTTCCTTAGAAAAGCAAATTAAAACTACAGAAGATTACACAGCGCTTGGAAAGTGTTATCTTGAACTTTTTACGTGGAGATGAAAGAAGAACGAGATGATTACTTTCTTCCACTACCCCCTCTCACAGCTCTTCTCTGGCAGTCATTTGAGTTGTAAAATCAAACTAAGCTCCCTAACTTCATTCTAGCAGTCATCAAAAAGAATTTCAACAAAAATCAAAGTTATTACACGTCAACTTGAAACATCACATCAATCCTCAGTGTGTTGTGCTTGTAGCCATGGGAAAAACAGTGAAGAAAGCTGCTTACACGTTAACAGAAAAGTGAAAAGAAAACAGAAAATGGCCAACTCAGAAACACCAACTTTAACACAGCCGACTTTCAAGTACAGTTGCTCAGAAGAGCACAGTTTTATGGTCAATGGTTGGTGATGCTGCTGAAGCAGAACTCCAAAACGTCCCGCCAGCCAGACCCGACAGAGGCAATAGTTGAACATTCCCACCTGCCTTTCAGAAACAGCCAGAAGATGACCAGGAAAAATGGAAAGGCACCGAATGTAGAAACCACAGGGATTTTCTAAAATTTATTTAGCCTATGAAATTACTCAACTCACTATGCCTCTAACAGCAAGCCTTTACGATTAAATATATATATATTCACCACTGGGGACAGCATCACCTATAGGTAACCAACTGCACATACAAAGGTACACAGCTTTCCAAGACATACAAACCTTCACGCTTCAGGGCATAAGGCTTTCATTAAAGAGCAGCTGCCCATCAGAGGGATCCTCTGTTCTCCTCTGAAAAGATCTGGTATCAGTCACCATCAGGCAGACTTCCAAATCAAATGCCAGACTCCGCTGGAGAAACGAGTCAATGCTCCTTCCTGGGAGAACACACCTGCTGTATCGTACTACCAGACTGTCACTGCTCTACTCGTCCAAAAGCCTGGGTTTATTTTTTTAAATCTACCTGCCTGGGAATTTGCACTTTTGCTGCCGAAGGAAAGGAGGTTTATACAACCAAGCTGTGAGTGCAAGTGGGACAGATATCGAACATGCCTCGTGGTTTGGTGAAAGTAGGTAAATGTGTATAAAAGAAAGGTAAGACCCCACTGAGAGAAAGGTTGACACAGTGACTCGGATCTTAACGGAGAGCAGGTGAGCACCACCTCGGGGCAAAGCAACTGGAAATGCGTTCACTGGTTCTGCTTCTTACAGAGCTCCCATTTACATGGGCTAACGGAATGGTTGTGTAGGTAACAGCCTGCTCCCCAGCAGAGCAAAAAGGGGTGAGATTTGAGACCAGCACCTGTAAAGACTTCTGAGGAGTTAAAAAAAAAAAAAAATCTAAAGTTTTTTGTAATTCAGGGGTTTATTTCAAATGTAGCGCAGGCTTAGCTAAAAGAGGCGAGAGCCAACATTACACCGAGGAGGGCAAAGCCCAAAAATAAATTGATGCAACTGGTTCACTTGTCTCACACGTAACTCTCACGACCAACCACCCATCGCTCAGACTCACCTAGCCCGCTCCTTTCCTTCGCCACACTCCCCCAGCCCACCTGCTCTGGCACCGCACCTCCACGGGGCTTTGGGGTTTCTTTTTCCTTTTCCACAAGCCTCTTGTGACTTGCACATCAGAAGGTGTTTTGTGCCCGTGGCAAATAATAGGCACTAATGGCAGCTCCCTTCAAAGTTTAGTTACTTACAAGCCAATTTTGCCACATCACCTGTAAGCAGACTCATACCATCACGACTTACTGGACTGATCGAGCCATGCACGTAACCAAGCGAATCCATGATCTTACAATTTCAGATTGACCCACCCTTCCCTCCGCCAGTCTCCTTCTGTTTGCGTATGATTAGCGGCCCAAAGTATCTGCAACTGACTTCACGTGGCAGGCCTTTGAACTCGGGTCCCGAACTTTGACAATGTCCTTGTGTCTTTCGATTAAGCAGATATCAAATCTGGCTGTATTCAGAATTAACACCACCACGCCAGGCCAGCTATTTTACTGGCACAAAGCAGGCAAACCCTTGAGAAATATTTTAAGCGACTGTTTCAGAAAAACAAGTTATAATTTACGACTGAAGTAAACAAGGGTTGTGTTTTCATTCTTTGAAGCACCTGTACATCTAACAGCCCTTCCGAAGGGCACTGTTAAGTGTAAGACTCACATGAACAGTACACCTTTACCAGCCCTAGGACGAACAAGACTCTTCAGGGTATTCCCACAGCAGGCAGCCAAGAAGTTCTCCGAAGCGCAGTTCCTCCACCCCTCACTTCCCAAGCAGGAGCCAACAAGCAGCAGCCAACTCTCTCCAGTGACTACGCAGGGATTATTAAGGCAGCCTTAATCAGACCTCTTACACTTTACTCCACGGTTATGCAAGCTCCTCCAAATAAGAAGATTAGACCAAAGTCACAGGCACCAGACTCCAACTGCGAGACAAACTCCCACCTTACTGTCTGCACTTGGAAAACAATGTACTCAAAAAGCTATGAAAGCAAATGCAAACCAGAACATAGTCCATGGAGGGAATTATTTTTAAAATACTATTCCTCAAGAAATCATTTTATCTAACTATCAAAAGCAGAAGTTTCCTTCTAAGAATGGTGTAACCCTAACAAGGAATGTCTTGTTACCAGGATCTCCCTCAAGCATGCATCTGCTCTCCCCGTTCAGAGTCACATTTCCCTTCTTTCTAGAGGTGGCACGTGGGACAGTTTCAAACCCAACAACATCCAACTACTTGGCCAAGTTCTGATCCTCCTACTGAAGGAAAAGCAGAAAGCTTTGGTGAATGTTACCACAGTCCAGGAGGCTCCTGAAGCAGCCTGTGAAGTTTTTTGGACACATGATAGCTCAATACATGATTGTAACTACTGCACCTCGTGCATCTTTCCTCAGGCAGTGAGCCTTCAGAGGGAGTCACCGACAGATACAGGTGGGAGGCCAAAACACAAGAGATTCAGGTTGACTCAGTCAAACACAAAACATGTAACAGAGCTGCAGCTCAAGTGCTGGGTTTGGCCTCAACCAACAAGAAGAGAAAAGGGATCAAGACATGGCTCATGACGGAGAGTTACTACTACTTCTCCGCAGGATCACAGGGTGGATTTTATCCTCTTCTCACATATATAAAAAAGCAAAGCTGAAATGCTGTTAATTTTCTCATCTTCTACGATTGCAGTAACTGTATCCGTCTGCTTCTTCCCAACTGGTCTCCCTCAATGCTCACAGCAGTGCTGACCAAGCTACAGATATCCCAGACCTACAGCGCAACAAGAGACACTCTCCAGATTTAGCAGCGATTAAACAACAATTTGAAAGCACGACGCTATCTCAACCTTCAAAACAGGATTTGTGGATATCAAGAGCCTATAGGCTCCCATAAATCCTACAGGCTTTATTCTTATCCCCAAAGGGAAGCATGTAGAAAACACTCACCGTCACAAATCTCCTGTCTACACATACTCCTGTGAACTACCAGCAATAACGCACGTTACACAAAACTTCAGCCCCAACATTCAGCTTCCCCACCTG